TTATCTCTGAAGTTTCTACAACTGACGAGAAGACAACAGTAGTAAAATAGCAATGAAAAATACTAATTGTGCACTCATAACCATGTATAAAACAATTAAAATGAAACAATGCCAGAACGTTTTCCCGTGACTATCATCCGTGGAAGATCGTCACATAGTAAGAATCACTAAAATAACCAGTTATAATTATAGCTAGAATAATATGAAAAGAAGAAGGGGTTGGTGCGACTTCGGCGATAGTAGGGGTAGAGTGTGTTGCTCCCTACATGGGAGCTCGCGGTTTTCCTGCCAACTTGAATTCTCACTTAACCGCGCGTTCCCATGTAGGGAGCAACACACTCTTCCCCCAATATGAAAAGAAGCGTGAGAATGCAGCAGCTCGCGCTTATGCATAACGCGTGTAGTGTGAACTTATTCAGTGGATCTGAGAATGGTAGCAGTACGTGAATGTGGCAGCTGTGAGTGCGTGTGGACAAACTGGTGAGTGCGTATTATTTGAAAAGTGTGAGTGCTACAACATTTTCTTTTTGCTTGCATAGCACAGGGTCACGTATACGAATATAAACAGCTTCCAACACCTGGAACTGCTTAAAGAAACGTGCGCAACAAATAACACTGAACCAGGAATCGTCAAACAACTTACGACAATCCGGACTGGACACCAAATGCTTGTAGATGGCAGACTTCCTCTTGTCGATATCAAACTCCTCCTCGTCAGTATCCTTCTCGTCCTCCACTTCCTGATCCTGCTCACCCTTGCTGTCCTCCTGACCATCCTGTTCACCCCCATCATCATCCTCCGCCTCCATCTCCTCTCGCCACCGCTTCTTTCTCTTTGACGCGTTCACTGCTGCGCCCGTACTTTCACCTGCCTCTCCTGGTCCGACCTTCTCGATTTTTCTCAGTCGTGCCTTCGCTAGTCTCTGGCTTCTCCTCAGATCCGTTTTGATCCCGAAACCACCAGTGCAGTGACATGGACAAGAACGTTAGCAAAATATCACCTAACTTGCACGTGAGCTTGGTTACCAGCGGGCGTGGGGGGGGGGGGATACTATTCAAGAGAGGGCTTTATTCCCGTAGCTATGCAGAAGACATTACTTCAGTAACGTCTGGCGCTAGCCAGGGTCCACACAGCTTTAATTTGGTATTTGTGTGTTTTTTTTGTGTCACGCCTGGCGCTCTCACGTATCTGATGGCAAAAAAAGCATAGGGATGTTATAAATTTTTCAATTCTCCTATTTTTTTTTCAGGCATATCCTGGGATTCGAACCCGCACTATTGCCCTATATGCATTCCCCCATACACTTCGCATTCATACCCATTCTTCCAAGTTGCTTCACGTTATGATCTTGCGTTTGAAAGCCCTATTTGAATATTGCGGGCAGCTGTATGTGGCCAGCTGTGTTTGATGGTACGGTACAGGAGACGGTGTCGTATTACCCTCGATCGTACTTGTCCCGTACCTATCCCCTACCGTACCGTACCATCAAAGACGGCTGGCCACAATGCATATTCAAATAGAGCTTTCAAATGCAAGATCATAATGTGAAGCAACTTGGAAGAATTAGTATGTATGCGAAGTGTATCGGGGGATGCATGCAGGGCGCGATAGTGCGGGTTCGAATCCCAGGTTATGTCTTAAAAAAAGGAATTTTTTAAAGAATTTATAACATCCCTATGCTTTTTTTGTCTAGGTCATCAAGGCAAGAAAGCATAGCGTAGGGCCCTGAGCTTCCAAGCTCTCTCGTTTTTTCACTGGCTCTTAGAGACTGGGGCACTATTCGAGATAGGGCACTGTTCAAGATTTTTTGGAATTCTTTATACTCACGATGGCACCATCGCCAATTAGTGATAAGTTTATGAGAAGGGGAGATGCTGTGGGTGAGGCTGTGGGTTATGCAGTTGGAAAGTGATTTACATCACTTTGAATTTTACAAGTATGGGAAAGGGTGAGCGCTGCAGGAGCAGATCGAGTTAATTAGCAGTGAGCAGGTTTCTTGTTTGAAATCAGGTCGGGAGGAGACGTCACGAATGCTAGCAGGGAGGGCATTGTAGTATTCTAGGGACTTGTACAGTGGGGAGTCTTTACAGCGGTCGGTTCTGGTGGGTGGGAGGCGCCAAGTGCATGTGTGTCGAAGGCTACACTGGGGCGTAACTTGAGCGGGGTGTTGAGCATGCGTATGGGTTGTGGTGCATATTGGTAATTTATGGAGTGTGCAAGAAGGGTGAGCTTTACTTTGTGACGAGAAAACTTGTGACATTGTCCGCCATTTGAGCCAATGCAGCAGTGCTGAATGATGCGGAGGAGTGAAGAGGGGGAGACGGAGGCAAATTCTGGCCGCCTTGCTCTGGATTCGCTCAAGGCGGTCACGGGCTGTGATTGAGAGCGGGGTGACAGCAATGCATGCGTATTCAATTAAAGGCATGTATACGCATGATAGGTGTTTTGTAAATAAGAGAGAGAGACAGTGACTTAGTGTGTAGAATTGATTATAGCCTAAAGAGAAAATTGAATATATTTACAGCTTTCTTCAGCACAAAGTCAAGATAGAGCTCTTATCGCGCGAGTACGGTAAATCATGCAACAGAAAGGGCCAAAAAATCAGGAGAAGCAGCATGGTAAGTGGTGAGCATGGGTGAGTGGGCAGCAAGGGAGCGCCTGAAAACAATCATACATTCCTAGCCACGACCGCTCAACTGGGCTAGAGGAAAAACCCGCCTTCCGGCCAAAAAAATATCTATGACTGTTATTACTTCCTGCAACGCCCACTGCCAGTCGGACCCAAGAATAGAGAAAACAAGAAATTGTATGTAATATACGGGGTACTGTAAATATACAAAATTTCGGCGCTGCAAAATTTCGGCACTTCACGATTTTTGACATTTCGGCGGCGATTTATTTTCGGCGTGGGGTAGAGGGCATGGTATTGCGACAGATGCTGTGAAAAATTTCATCGGCGTTTTAAATTAGGCGTTTTGGGTCGGTGCCGAATATAGCCGAAATTAAATAGCTGCCGAAAATTTGTACATTTACAGTATGTCATGATCGTAAGCCACAGACATCGGCATAGAATATCAAAATGTCCAGTGGAAGACCCCTTGAAACCGGGGTTGGTGGGCGGGCAACTTCAATTACCACGAGGAAAACAAAGACCACGATGGCAGGTTCAATGGAGTTGCGCAGAACAAGAGCAAACGCACGAAAATATTGGTGAGTGAAAAGTACGCTTTTTGCTCTCTTTCGCTCAGCCATGGAAAACAAAACTTCACCATTGTGGTCAGCAGCCTCAAAACCAAAATTGAGGCAAAAATAAGTCTGTGACAGTTCACATGTAACAGAACATAAGTGTTATCAAACATTATCATTTATCCAATATCCCGAATCGCCAAAGAAGTTGGATACGTGGAATTTGGCTGCAGATTGCATACTATTTATGCTAACCTTACTTTGACTTCATGCAGAGCTAGCTAGTAGCTACTGACTCATGTGCATGACTTGTTGGGCTAGCTAGTAGCTACTGACTCATGTGCATGACTTGTTGTCGTGTGGCTTGCAGTTCCACCAACTCCAAAGATCACATCTAACTCATCAACTCCAGCAACAATTACTGTGGTGTTTGGCGCACTGACTGGTCATTTCACAATTCATCGGTATTGCTGTCTGTACCACCGTGAAAGAGTCTCCGGGACTCCATCGCCAACAACCTCTACAACGGTTTGCAGTCAAGTCACAACCATCATACTGAAAAACCTGGAGGAGGATGCAACGTACTCCATAGAGGGGTTTGCCAACAACACTGCCATGAAGATTAGCCCACATACAATGCCATTCAGTCTCAAAACTAAACCCGAAGGTTGGTGATAAGTAGCAATGCCAGTAATGGGCTGAATGGCTTCCTCAACCATAGGATGTTACCTAAGAAATTCTGGTGGTCTGTGCCCCTTTAGAACTATCATTTGAATAGATTTTTGGTCATTACGCTAAATGTCCCTTTCAGGGATAGGGAATGGAATCAAGTGTGTCGTATTCCTCGCCCGAAAAAGACTCATTTTGGTCAGTTCCGACAAAGTAGATTGTGGCCCAATGGGGTAAAAATCATCCAAAACCGTACATGTGCTGAAAACAATTCATGCATCCTTGTTTTCCTCATGCATGGCCACGGATTCCAAAAAATGTGAATTTGACGAGAATTTTGCTCTGCGCCCAGGGTGTATTTCCGAGTCAAAATGCCATATTCCTATCAACTCGTTACATGGAATACGAGCATAGAACGCTATTCCTCACACTTCCTCATTCTTTTCTTCAGGGTGTCTGTGAGCGGTTGGGATGCCATTCTGATCATTCCCCTCAAAGCAGGACAGAGTTAGTTTCCTTATTCATCATGTCCCCGGTCGCTGAACCCGCAGACTTTGCATGCACAGGGGCGTAGCACCCGCTACGACTGGTACGACCATGGCCATACCACTTTTCGAAAAGTGTGGTCCGTCCGGAACGTGCAAAACCGTAATAAAAAAATCAGGATCCATCGATGCATATGCGCATCAGACTTTGACCTTTTTCTAGACTCGTACTCGTAGATCTGCCATGCATCTGTGCATGTCCATGCACGTCTCTTCTGACCGTGAAATAATTCAATGACTTTATAAACTGTGCCAGAAGTGTGCCAGAAGTTCCCAGAACGCAGGATTTTGTGTCTTTTTTACAACATTTCCCCGGGGGAGGTCCCCCACCCCCCTCCAAAACGGCCTTCGGCCGCGCCGACCTTCGGTCGTACCACTTCCAAAACCCCTCCTACGCCCTGATGCATGATATTTTACTCAAAATGAGGATGATATTTCATCTTGGGCCTTCACTAAAATGACTGGATGAAGAAAATTCCTGCATTTTGAGCACGTACTTTTGAAGTGAGAAACCGAATATAGAAAAGCCAAATGTGACTATCATCGCCGCAAGCTGATAGCTAAATGTTCCTGGCTATGTATTTTTGATTCTGACACAGCCCCATCTGAGCCACCCGCATCTGTAAGCATCACCAATGTCAACAGAACATCACTGACAGTAGTATGGAGGGAAGTACCCTTGCTTGGTCGCAATGGTCCAATCACACACTATCTGGTCAAGTACAATAACAGCCATGACCGACGTGTTGGAAGTGATCAGCTCTCACTCACGCTGCATCACCTTCAGCCTAACACAAACTACAACATCAGTGTATCGGCTATAGGTCACGGAGGTCAAAGTGGACCTTATAGCAGTGAGGAGATTGTCAAAACACTCGAAGCTGGTAAGAACAGTAGCTCTTGGTAAATGATAGAATTAGTCCTTAGACATCTAGCAACACACACACTCATCATCCTGCTGGGCATGTAACACACTTCCATGAACAATAAACACTGACTACACAAAATGTCATCATCCAAACTCACATGTAACTGCCTCTCTGTTGTTTCCTGTCTCAATGCAATCATCTGTCAGCTAAGTTATAAGTGAAACACTAGTTGCTGTGTTATTACCTTCTCCCCCTGGTCTCACCACACAACAACGCAAACGACTTGATGGTGTTGCTGACTTCTTACTCAAACGGAAAGGGCACAGGAGGAGAAAGGTGAACAAATGTGAAACGGAAAAAACGAAGAAAAACGACACGAAGAAACAACAAAGAACAAGCAGTGATAAAGCAACGACAAATCGGGACGACCAATCAGGGACCAATACGTACATAACGCATGACCAAGACAAAGACAACCAGACCACGGGCGAATCACTCATCACTCTCATTCCTAGACCAAACTAGCACTGCGCATGCACAACATTCACTTGACAGTCACTCTCACACAGACGGAAGCAGATTCGTGCACTCTGGCAACGCGTACTCTTGCATGCACCACATACCAAAAGCGTCACACATCACACCATACCCATACGTACACTTACACCATAAGACAGTGGACTCAAAAAGACAACAAACAAATACAACGTGCGCAAATAAGACACGAACGGAATTTTGCAAAATAAGGATCTGCCTGCCAAACAGGTTCCCTCGTCCCATTACTTTCCCCATGCACTGTGCTTTCAAACATGAACATGTATGCACTGCTGCGCCCGTACTTTCACCTGCCTCTCCTGGTCCGACCTTCTCGATTTTTCTCAGTCGTGCCTTCGCTAGTCTCTGGCTTCTCCTCAGATCCGTTTTGATCCCCAAACCACCAGTGCAGTGACATGGACAAGAACGTTAGCAAAATATCACCTAACTCACGCGTGAGCTTGATTACCAGCGGGCGTGGGGGGGGGGGATACTATTCAAGAGAGGGCTTTATTTTTTCACTGGCTCTTAGAGACTGGGGCACTATTCGAGATAGGGCACTGTTCAAGATTTTTGGAATTCTTTATTCTCACGATGGCACCATCGCCAATAAGAGATAAGTTTATGAGAAGGGGAGATGCTGTGGGTGAGGCTGTGGGTTATGCAGTTGGAAAGTGATTTACATCACTTTGAATTTTACAAGTATGGGAAAGGGTGAGCGCTGCAGGAGCAGATTGAGTTAATTAATAAGCAGTGAGTAGATTTCTTGTTTGAAAGCAGGTGGGGAGGGAACATTACGAATGCTAGCAGGGAGGGCATTGTAGTATTCTAGGGACTTGTACAGTGGGAAGTCTTTACAGCGGTCGGTTCTGGTGGGTGGGAGGCGCCAAGTGCATGTGTGTCGAAGGCTACACTGGGGCGTAACTTGAGCGGGGTGTTGAGCATGCGTATGGGTTGTGGTGCATATTGGTAATTTATGGAGTGTGCAAGAAGGGTGAGCTTTACTTTGTGACAAGAAAACTTGTGACATTGTCCGCCATTTGAGCCAATGCAGCAGTGCTGAATGATACGGAGGAGTGAAGAGGGGGAGACGGAGGCAAATTCTGGCCGTCTTGCTCTGGATTCGCTCAAGGCGGTCACGGGCTGTGATTGAGAGTGGGGTGACAGCAATGCATGCGTATTCAATTATAGGCATGTATACGCATGATAGGTGTTTTGTAAATAAGAGAGAGAGACAGTGACTTAGTGTGTAGAATTGATTTTAGCCTAAAGAGAAAATTTAATATGTTTACAGCTTTGTTCAGCACAAAGTCAAGATAGAGCTCTTATCGCGCGAGTACGGTAAATCATGCAACAGAAAGGGCCACAAAATCAGGAGAAGCAGCATGGTAAGTGGTGAGCATGGGTGAGTGGGCAGCAGGGGAGCGCCTGAAAACAATCATACATTCCTAGCCACGACCGCTCAACTGGGCTAGAGGAAAAACCCGCCTTCCGGCCAAAAAAATATCTATGTCATTACTTCCTGCCCCGCCCGCTGCCAGTCGGACCCAAGAATAGAGAAAACAAGAAATTGTATGTAATATATGGGGTATGTCATGATCGTACGCCACAGACATCGGCATAGAATATCAAAATGTCCAGTGGAAGACCCCCTTGAAACCGGGGTTGGTGGGCGGGCAACTTCAATTACCCGGTGACGAGGAAAACAAAGACCACGATGGCAGGTTCAATGGAGTTGCGCAGAACAAGAGCAAACGCACGAAAATATTGGTGAGTGAAAAGTACGCTTTTTGCTCTCTTTCGCTCAGCCGTGGAAAACAAAACTTCACCATTGTGGTCAGCAGCCTCAAAACCAAAATTGAGGCAAAAATAAGTCTGTGACAGTTCACGTGTAACAGGACATAAGTGTTATCAAACATTATCATTTATCCAATATCCCGAATCGCCAAAGAAGTTGGATACGTGGAATTTGGCTGCAGATTGCATACTATTTATGCATCCTTACCTTACTTTGACTTCATGCAGAGCTAGCTAGTAGTGACTGACTCATGTGCATGACTTGTTGTTTTGTGGCTTGCAGTTCCACCAACTCCAAAGGTCACATCTAACTCATCAACTCCAGCAACAATTACTGTGGTGTTTGGCGCACTGACTGGTCATTTCACAATTCATCGGTATTGCTGTCTGTACCACCGTGAAAGAGTCTCCGGGACTCCATCGCCAACAACCTCTACAACGGTTTGCAGTCAAGTCACAACCATCATCCTGAAAAACCTGGAGGAGGATGCAACATACTCCGTAGAGGGGTTTGCCAACAACACTGCCATGGGGATTAGCCCACATACAACGCCATTCAGTCTCAAAACTAAACCCGAAGGTTGGTGATAAGTAGCAATGCCAGTAATGTGCTGAATGGCTTCCTCAACCATAGGATGTTACCTAAGAAATTCTGGTGGTCTGTGCCCCTTTAGAACTATCATTTGAATAGATTTTTGGTTATTACGCTAAATGTCCCTTTCAGGGATAGGGAATGGACTCAAGTGTGTCGTATTCCTCACCCGAAAAAGACTCATTTTGGTCAGTTCCGACAAAGTAGATTGTGGCCCAATGGGGTAAAAATCATCCAAAACTATACATGTGCTGAAAACAATTCATGCATCCATGTTTTCCTCATGCATGGCCACGGATTCCAAAAAATGTGAATTTGACGAGAATTTTCCTCTGCCCCCAGGGTGTATTTCCGAGTCAAAATGCCCTATTCCTGTCAACTCGTTACATGGAATACGAGCATAGAACGCTATTCCTCACACTTCCTCATTCTTTTCTTCAGGGTGTCTGTGAGCGGTTGGGATGCCATTCTGATCATTCCCCTCAAAGCAGTACAGACAGAGTTAGTTTCCATATTCATGTCCCCGGTCACTGAAACCCGCAGACTTTGCATGCATGATATTTTACTCAAAATGAGGATGATATTTCATCTTGGGCCTTCACTAAAATGACTGGAAGAAGAAAATTCCTGCATTTTGAGCACGTACTTTTGAAGTGAGAAACCGAATATAGAAAAGCCAAATGTGACTATCATCGCCGCAAGCTGATAGCTAAATGTTCCTGGCTTTTTAACGTTCTGATGTATTTTTGATTCTGACACAGCCCCATCTGAGCCACCCGCATCTGTAAGCATCACCAATGTCAACAGAACATCACTGACAGTAGTATGGAGGGAAGTACCCTTGCTTGGTCGCAATGGTCCAATCACACACTATCTGGTCAAGTACAACAACAGCCATGACCGACGTGTTGGAAATGATCAGCTCTCACTCACGCTGCATCACCTTCAGCCTAACACAAACTACAACATCAGTGTATCGGCTATAGGTCACGGAGGTCAAAGTGGACCTTATAGCAGTGAGGAGATTGTCAAAACACTCGAAGCTGGTAAGAACAGTAGCTCTTGGTAAATGATAGAATTAGTTCTTAGACACCTAGCAACACACACGCTCATCATCCTGCTGGGCATGTAACACACTTCCATGAACAATAAACACTGACTACACAAAATGTCATCATCCAAACTCACATGTAACTGCCTCTCTGTTGTTTCCTGTCTCAATGCAATCATCTGTAAGCTAAGTTATAAGTGAAACACTAGTTGCTGTGTTATTACCTTCTCCCCCTGGTCTCACCACACAACAACGCAAACGACTTGATGGTGTTTCTGACTTCTTACTCAAACGGAAAGGGCACAGGAGGAGAAAGGTGAACAAATGTGAAACGGAAAAAAACGAAGGAAAACGACACGAAGAAACAACAAAGAACAAGCAGTGATAAAGCAACGACAAATCAGGACGACCAATCAGGGACCAATACGTACATAACGCATGACCAAGACAAAGACAACCAGACCACGGGCGAATCACTCATCACTCTCATTCCTAGACCAAACTAGCACTGCGCATGCACAACATTCACTTGACAGTCACTCTCACACAGACGGAAGCAGATTCTTGCACTCTGGCAACGCGTACTCTTGCATGCACCACATACCAAAAGCGTCACACATCACACCATACCCATACGTACACTTACACCATAAGACAATGGACTCAACAAGACAACAAACAAATACAACGTGCGCAAATAAGACACGAACGGAATTTTGCAACATAAGGATCTGCCTGCCAAACAGGTTCCCTCGTCCCATTACTTTCCCCATGCACTGTGCTTTCACACATGAACATGTATGCACTGTGGATCACACGCACATACGTAGGCACTAAAGTGTACTGCACTATAGTAGTTTTCCCGTACATTCCTGCACGCAGTTGCACACAAATAGCAATAGACCTGCAGTACATAACCATGCTATACTGCATGTGTGGAGTTATGCTTACCTACATCACTTTAAATGGCCCTAACCCAGCTGCCCGTCGTCAGTTTCAAACCAGATAACCCTATTGTGTATGATGGTAGTGATTGGGTTGTAGTAAGAGAAAGAATACCACTATCAACTGTGGTGCAATTTTAATCTACCATGACTCAGTTCTTCTTGTGCTTCTGCGTATTGCACTTTAGTACCCGACAAACCAACCGTCAAATTCGCTTCAACATCAACCAGTGTGAGGGCAGTGGTGACATCCGAATCACCGTACTGGAATGTTCATCAGTACTGCATCACAATCCAAGCCACCAAGAGAGTGGACGGCAAACCAATACCTGATGAACTACTTCAACTAGTGAAACACAATTGTACAGATCATGGTGTATCTGAGTTTCACAATCTTGAGGAATATGTAGTCTACAACACCTGGACCTGGGTTCAAAATGGAAGGGGAGAGAACAGTAGCACTCAAATGGACGTTTTTGCCACTAAAGAGGGAGGTAAGATCCGGCTTGGTTTCTAGTGACCTGCAGAAGCTGTACTCTAATTATTCTTATCTTTGGTGCATGTAGTGTCCTATCCTGTATCACGTTATCCTTTCACTATATTTACGACATAGTCCTTCCCCTGTCTGTCGCCATGTATAGACGGTACGTGACCTCGCACTACCCCATGCCATGCACAATACAGGTCTTCCCTCGTTAGTAGATAATCTCTTGGCCATCGAAAAAGGTATCTTGAAACGAGACTTATCTTGTAACAGGACTTGCAGCTTAAGGTGAAATAGGCACTAATCCATACTTACCTGGGCTATCCTCGATACAACATAAATTGTCGATGCTTCAACTCGTTATAAGGTAATTGAAAATCTCCATGCAATACATACGTAAAGTGAAAAGCTGCAATTTATCATTATTATTATTATTATTTATTATTATTATTTATTATTCCACAATCACGATGACATAGTGCCAATAAGCATGTGATGCGGGCGATTTTAACCAGCCATGGTGGGGACAACTGAGAAAAAGAAGGAGAAGAAAAAGAGAAAACAAAACAAAACAAAAGGAGTACTAAAGGAACCTGGAGAGAGCAGTATGAAGATTAGGCTAGCAATGGAAAACAACGAATTCAATTCAATTCAACTTAGGCGCGGGCAGAATGGAACAAAATGCAGCGAATGTGTCACGAGACTTTACCTCCTGCGGAAGCCGAGACCAATGAGAATAGGACTTGAACAGAGGGGATTTTAAAAGGATCGATGATCTGGCAAGTGGGAAATGGAGAGAACATCTAGCAATGATTAGTACTTACTAGAAGTATATCCATACTGGGTTTTTTTGCATCTAAATGTCCAGCTATTCACTGCAGAGGTGATTTCTTCTCTCGTCGATTTCTTTCCTGCTTTTACACCTCGATATTAAGTGACTTGTTTCCCCTTTCCCATGCTTCATATTCCCCTCTCCTTCCCCATTCCCCATTTTTCTAGCTATATTTATGTAGGAGACTTCTGTCATAATTATATAAGCATCCATTTGCTTTTGGAGAATCCTTTTAAATAAATACAATACATGTAGCAATTTCACCTGATATACTGTCGAATAATGTACTTATCAAGTGGTTATTTTTGATCATCCTCTGACTTGTTGTTCTAGTTCCAAGTCGTGCTCCGTCGAACCTGGCTGTTATCGGCGAGACTAGCACATCTGCTCAGCTGCAATGGTCTCCAATTCCCCTACTGGACCAGAATGGATTTATCACATCATACCATGTCAACGTCACGGCAATCTATCCCGTCAGTGAAGTCTCAAGCCAAACATTCCTTGCATCTGCCCTTAATGGAACTATTGTCAGGCTGAAACCATACACGATGTATGAAGTGGCCATTGCCGCTGCTACTCGTATTGGCATGGGAGATATCTCTAATTTCACATCATTCCAGACTCAGCAAGCAGGTGAGGTGGATTTGAACACTGTGTAGTTCATACTAAGCAAATTGTGGCAGCTGCCTGGTGATTACTAACGCTGAATTCTCTAAACAGCAGCAACAGCAATGAGTTTTTTATTCCCATACCTATGTGCAAAAAAGAAGCATAGTTCAGTAGCATATGGTGCTAGCCAGGGTCCAAAACGCTTTCATTCGGTATCTGTTCGTATCTTTCTGAGGTAGTGTCTTTCACTTGACGCATACTTGACGCATACCGTATGTGTCCTGTACTGTAATGCAAATTGTAGTAGAGGTTCACATCTACGGTATTTTTGACGTGACGCAAACGTTCTGCTGGCGTTATTGGAACACTCGAGTTCAGCTCGAGCGTTGGAAAACAACTATTCTGTATGTAGTAGTCTCATATTTTTCTTGGGGATAGTAGTTTTCAATCCGTGTTTTCGTTCAGCATGTCTTCGTTCAGTGTCGAGATGTCTCCAGGGTCTCCTTCCGGTTCTGAGGGAGCTGATCCTGTCCTGGCAACGGACAACGAGGTGAGTATAGAGGACTTTCCAATGAGTCATACCGTGCGGCCTATGAGGATTCGGGCCAAAGATCATCGAGTTCACCACCGATCACCGGACTTGAAACGGAGCTTGGGTGGCAAAAAAAGAAGACTGCACTGGAAGGAAACAGTGTTTTTCGAAAGCAGTTCCATTTTGCATACTGTAGTTTGAGAATACCAAAGGGCTGCTCGCGATCGGATGTTCCCACACCTGGATCGTCTTTGAGTTGTTATCGTTTTCCCTACGATGGAGAACGACGAAACCAGTGGATGACGGACACACGACTCGAGAACTTCGCTCCTTATGCAAATACTTCGAAGTACACGAATATTGTTCCATCACTTTGTTGGCGAAGAGAAAAGTCATGATCATCCCCTGTCACCCCAGTACGTATCGAACTAACTAACCAACTTGTTCAGCTCATTTGTGGCAGCACCAGTAAAGGCGGAACCACGAAGATGATTCCGAACACTATCAACTTACTTAGTTTGTTGGGGTGCAAGGTATAGCTGGAGTGTGATGATTGATAGTGCTGATGCTGATGGTAATGACTAATGTACCCAGCTCTATGCACGTACCTATACATGACTGGTGGTGCTAGCTATTCTAGTACTGGCCCTGGGTGCAACTCATCATCTCTTCCATGCCAGTGTGTATGCCTCATGTTCTGCACAACGTGTATTTCCTTTGTCATGGATGAATACTCTGATCGACCTACTTGCGCAATCTTCTTCTGCTTCCCACTTGGTTGCTGGGCTGTGCAGTTCTTCATCTGCTGCGGCACATACTAGTATACCTCATCTTCTGTCTTTCTGGTCAATTAGGTACATGAATTCAGCTTCTTGATCTTCTTGTGGTGAGGATCATCTTGATCTTACTTCTTGTGTAACTCTTGCAAAGGCAGTAATGGAGGATACTCTACCGGTAATCAGCAACCGCTTATGGAGAATGCCAGGTCGAGGGACGACCAGGAAAAAACAATTGCTGTATTGAATGTGCATTCATCAGCGTGTTTTAAGATCAGGACAACTAAGTTCGCCACTACACCAACTCTTTGGCTACATAGGAGCAATGATGATGATGGCCGTGTTTGACTTTGTCAGCTTTCGTGCTACCAGCCACCGCATGTCAACATTGTCATACTCGTACTGATGAGGAAGAAAAACCCACACACGCACGCACACACACGCACGCACACACACACACACACACACACACACACACACACACACACACACACACACACACACACATGGATACACTGACAGGCATACGAAGCAAAAGAGACAGAGAGTCAGGCAGCGAAAGAGAAGTGAGACTACTTGTAGGTTATGGGCACGGTGCTCCAATTTCTGCCCAGCTGAAGTAAAATCCATGTACACTATTTTCGTGTAGTGTTCATTGACGGTGCAAGCCACTGGTGAGTGACCCAGTGGTGTAGGTATTGACATTCAGCACACATCACATTTCAGTCTCCAACGTAAATTCAGTCAAAACAACACTGCACAGCAGCAACATGGGAACATGCTTCTCCCAGGCCCACCATGCAAGTGCAGTGTGCGCCAAGAACAATTCCAGGTAATTAAGCAGCTACCCAAGGATGGACAGGTTCGGCAAAAACACTCCGCGAGTGCTTGACGTTTGCAAACGTATTTTGTTGACAGTTGTTGTTTCTTCCTTCGATTGGGCAAGACACGATAATGTGCCAACCCAGCCAGCAATGAGACACATGCATTTGTATCCATCAGGGCTATTGTAAGACTTTAGAGAGTCCTTTGCATATGTGCTGGGGACATTCACCGAATATTTAGAGAGGCCTGGATACCCAACGCAGGGGATTGGCTGAAAGGTCTTCGTCCATAGGTAAAATAATATGGATCAATGTACTGGGCCCACGGATTCTGTCAATCTTCTCGCGGCAACGCCTCTTCAAGGCTGGAATAAACAGTAGAGTAACTGCGGCTAGTAATCCTCGCGACTTACCGAAACTATTCACTACATCAAAGAAAAGCAAAAGTGCTTCACCACTGCGACGGCCTGCAACATCATTTTCAACCGTACACCGAACAACACATTTGATTCTCTTTTTGCCACCCAAGCACATTTTACCGTAGGACACGGACTTGTCTTATGGGTGATCTTATGGTGGACACCGGGAAGGCGCCAAAAAGGTGATGTAATGGAAAGTCCTCTATAGCGGCGTCGGATATCGAATCCACGTCGAGTGTTAGTAGGAAATCGGCCCGCAGATTGGTCGGATGACACAGATCTGTTTCGCTAGAGCGTTTCCAGAAGGTGAAGTTATCAGTAGGCCAGCTGTTTGCTTCCATCACAGACTGCTGCCCACATGTTGATATACGACTTTCAACTGCTGGGTCACAAGGTGAAGCAAACTGGAAGGATGTACTTCAAAGTATAATTATGCGTGCGAAGTGTATCGAGGGAATGCATGCAGGGTGATAGTGCGGGTTCAAATCCAAGGTTATAGGTTAAAAAAATTGCCAAAATGAAACAGGGTAGTACAATAGAAAGTCAAAAGGACCAAGGAACTACAAGTTACACTATAATTCCCAGTTCAAATCCAAGGTTATAGATTTTTTAAAATTTCAAAAAATGAAATAGGATGGTACCATAGAACGTCAAAAGGACCAAGGAACTACAAGTTACACTATAATTTCCACTAACACCACCAGTTACTAAACAATCAGCTCATGCGATAACATTGAACGACACTGACCGAAGGTATTGAGGTTCTACAACTAACTGGCTAACAGCTCTAGCACATCTTGCATGCGCACTCCAACAACCTTCCAACTTGGAAGGTTCTAAGTTATAGAAATAAGATATGGAGGTCTTTTTGACTTTCCATAAATACTCCTTGGCTCTGCATTCGAGTTGATAGTAGCTTAGCGTAATGATTATTTTAGTAACTACTTGGTAGAATGTACATGTTCGAGTGTTGGAGTGTTTTTGAGTTAAGTATCCATGTGCGTTCTTGAGCTGAAGTTTCTTTTTTTAGCTCCTGTTTGAGCCGATAGCTGAGAACTTTCTAATGGGAATAGACATTTCGATTGCTCAATTATGTTCAGAGAAAACCGGGGAACGTTTTTGCAATGCAAGATCATATGCACGACAATCGTACTGTTGCTATTGCATAATGCATGATAACCAAAACATTGTACATCAAAGGAATCGGTTCGTTTTTGCAGTGCTGTGGGAATGGGTGTGTCCACCCTACTTCTCTCTACGGATGAAGCTGCAGGAGGCCTCGAAATTACTTCTAACCTAGTTATTACTTCGAAGTATTATTAATATTAACTCTGAAGTACATGTGGTCACAAACTCGGCAATTCGAAAATATTATTAACCGTCCACCTCTCCACACAGCGCTCTTGGCCCACATTCACAACACCCCTCCATAGCGAGGAAGTTCGTTCTTGTGTAGATGTTCCATATCCTCCAGACAGCTGTTACCGGCTCATCGGTGGAGGTAGATAACGAATGAATAGCAGATAAAGGAATGAGTATACTAATAGGGTAAAGTGACGCAATTCCGCACCTTCTACATAGAAAAGTAGCATACTCAAAAAAGTGGAAGGTGACAAAAGTTTTGAAGGTGATAATGAAACGCACAGTGCTGCTGGAGCATGCATACAGATGGGGCTAGAAGAGATGTCGACTTGTGAAGTATCTCTAGCTTCAGGCACGTTATTCTCCGGTGTAGGATGCTCTTGTACCGTTATATTGGTCTAGGTATGCTCAAGCACCAGATCACAGTGGCGCTTGTAGTACTTGTCTTCACATAGTATCCCATGCACACGACAGAGTGACCAGTGGACCAGAGAGGCCAATTATGATGCTCCAAGTAATTCCGTCCAGTGAGCTTTGAACAGTTGCATAGGATATGGGCAACCCACTCGCCTGCCTCCCCACACATTCGACACAGGGGCTTCCACCCTGATGGAAGATTTGGGCTTTGAGCAACTTAGTTGCCAAAGCCTTGTCTTGTGCCGCAATGATTATGCTCTCTGTGGTCTTCTTGAGACTAGCCTTTGTCGGCCGACTCCAGGTGTTCTCGTTGGTCAGTTGTTCTGTTGCCAGACAAACTGTCCATGCAAGGGTTTCAGGGTCCACACCAAGAGGTGTTCTTTTTGAAGCGGGGAGAGTAGGGGCTGCAAAGCAAGCCTGTGCTGGTGAGGCAAGCCAACAACACCGACCTATGGTCTCGGCATTAACGTGAGCTTGCGCACCATAGCCTAAAAGAAGGGGGTGATTTAGTGCGATAAAGACAATAGAAGGTGAGGTACAATGGATGAGGAGAAAGAGAGAGAGAGAGAGAGAGAGAGAGAGAGAGAGAGAGAGAGAGAGAGAGAGAGAGAGAGAGAGAGAGAGAGAGAGAGAGAGAGAGAGAGAGAGAGAGAGAGAGAGAGAGTGAGAGAGAGAGAGAGAAAGCGAGAGAGAG